GCCCCCGCACATTGACTCTGTACTGGTACCCCCTGTATATAGCCTCCCTACTGCTATTTTATTTTACTGCTGCTCTTTAGCTATTTGCTTTTATTTTTCTTAATTAACACTTTTTTATTTTACATTTTTCTTTAAAAAACTGCATTGTTGGTTAAGGGCTTGTAAGTAAGCATTTCACTGTAATGTCTACACCTGTTGTATTCGGCACATGTGGCAAATAAAATTTGATTTGATTTAAAAAATTTCATTTTAGTCATTTAGCAGACGCTCTTATCCAGAGCGACTTACAGTTAGCATACATTTTTCATACATATTTGATTTGAAATGAGTTTAAATAGGAAATATAGCAAAATTAATAGGAAATGTAGTCATTGACAAGGTTAGAAATTATGATTTTTAATTGAAATAATAATTGTGTCCCTCAAACTTTGCTTTCGTCAAAGAATCCTCCATTTGCAGCAATTGCAGCCTTGCAGACCTTTGGCATTCTAGTTGTCAATTTGTTGAGGTAATCTGAAGAGATTTCACCCCATGCTTCCTGAAGCACCTCCCACAAGTTGGAATGGCTTGATGGGCACTTCTTACGTACCATACGGTCAAGCTGCTCCCACAACAGCTCAATAGGGTTGAGATCTGGTGACTGTGCTGGCCACTCCATTATAGACAGAATACCAGCTGACTGCTTCTTCCCTAAATAGTTATTACATAGTTTGGAGCTGTGCTTTGGGTCATTGTCCTGTTGTAGGAGGAAATTGGCTCCAATTAAGTGCCGTCCACAGGGTATGGCATGGCTTTCAAAATGGAGTGATAGCCAAAATCCCTTTTACCCTGTACAAATCTCCCACTTTACCACAACCAAAGCACCCCCAGACCATCACATTGCCTCCACCATGCTTGACAGATGGCATCAAGCACTCCTCCAGCATCTTTTCATTTGGTCTGCATCTCACAAATGTTCTTCTTTGTGATCCGAACACCTCAAACTTTGATTCGTCTGTCCATAACACTTTTTTCCAATCTTCCTCTGTCCAGTGTCTGTGTTCTTTTGCCCATCTTAATCTTTTCTTTTTATTGGCCAGTCTGAGATATGGCTTTTTCTTTGCATCTCTGCCTAGAAGATCAGCATCCCGGAGTCGCTTCTTCACTTCGCTGCCAATTGAGGACCAGTGAGGCGTCTGTTTCTCAAACTAGACACTGTAATGTATTTGTCCTCTTGCTCAGTTGTGTAAGGGGGGCCTCTCACTCCTCTTTCTATTCTGGTTAGAGCCAGTTTGCGCTGTTCTGTGAAGGGAGTAGTACACAGCGTTGTACGAGATCTTCAGTTTCTTGGCAATTTCTCGCATGGAATAGCCTTCATTTCTCAGAACAAGAACAGACTGATGAGTTTCAGAAGAAAGTTATTTGTTTCTGGCCATTTTGAGCCCGTAATCAAACCCACAATTGCTGATGCTCCAGATACTCAACTAGTCTGAAGAAGGCCAGTTTTATTGCTCCTTTAATCAGCACAATATTTTTCAGCTGTGCTAACATAATTGCAAAAGGGTTTTCTAATTGTCAGGGTTGAGTGTAAATGTGGTGTGGAATCATGCGCAGGACACACAGAGGCTTCGTACTGACGTCTTTAGTGAAGACAAAAGAACAAGCCAAACACGGCAACAGGCAACCAGGCAGGCAAGCGAACTTTACGCAACACGGTAAAGTGCAAAACAAAGGCGCACAAAGTGCGGAACTCTCTCTAAACAAAATACAGAGAGAACATAACCGAACTAGCACACAACGTGACAACGAACAATTACACACAACACATGACAAAACTCAAGAGAACTATATAGGACGCATAATGAACACTAACAAGGAACAGGTGTAACAAAACAGACAAAACCAATCAAACATCGAAACATAGAACGGTGGCAGCTAGTACTCCGGAGACGACGACCGCCGAAGCCTGCCCGAACAAGGAGAAGGAGCAGCCTCGGTCGAAACCGTGACACTAATGATCAATTAGCCTTTTAAAATGATAAACTTGGATTAGCAAACACAACGTGCCATTGGAACACAGAACTGATGGTTGCTGATAATGGGCCTCTGTACACCTATGTAGATATTCCATAAAAAATCATCAGCTGTTTCCAGCTACAATAGCCATTTACAACATTAACAATATCTACACTGTATTTCTGATCAATTTGATGTTATTTTAATGGACAAAAAAATTGCTTTTCTTTTGAAAACAAAGACATTTCTAAGTGACCCCAAACTTTTGAACGGTAGTGTACAGTCATGGTCAAAAGTTTTGAGAATGACACAAATATTAATTTTCACAAAGTCTGCTGCCTCAGTTTTTATGATGGCAATTTGCATATACTCCAGAATGTTATGAAGAGTGATCAGATGAATTGCAATTAATTGCAAAGTCCCTCTTTGCCATGAAAAAATGTCCACTGCATTTCAGCCCTGCCACAAAAGGACCAGCTGACATCATGTCAGTGATTCACTCGTTAATATAGGTGAGAGTGTTGATGAGGACAAGGCTGGAGATCACTCTGTCATGCTGATTGAGTTAGAATAACAGACTGGAAGCTTTAAAAGGAGGGTGGTGCTTGAAATCATTGTTCTTCCTCTGTTAATCATGGTTACCTGCAAGGAAACACGTGCCGTCATCATTGCTTTGCACAAAAAGGGCTTCACAGGCAAGGATATTGCTGCTAGTAAGATTGCACCTAAATCAACAATTTATCGGATCATCAAGAACTTTAAGGAGAGAGGTTCAATTGTTGTGAAGAAGGCTTCAGGGCGCCCAAGAAAGTCCAGCAAGCGCCAGGACCGTCTCCTAAAGTTGATTCAGCTGTGGGATCGGGGCACCACCAGTGCAGAGCTTGCTCAGGAATGGCAGTAGGCAGGTGTGAGTGCATCTGCATGCACAGTGACGCGAATACTTTTGGAGGATGGCCTGGTGTCAAGAAGGGCAGCGAGGAATCCACTTATCTTCAGGAAAAACATCAGGGATAGACGGATATTCTGCAAAAGGTACAGGGATTGGACTGCTGAGGACTGGGGTAAAGTCATTTTCTCTGATGAATCCCCTTTCCGATTGTTTGGGGCATCCGGAAAAAAGCTTGTCCGGAGAAGACAAGGTGAGCGCTACCATCAGTCCTGTGTCATGCCAACAGTAAAGCATCCTGAGACCATTCATGTGTTGGGTTGCTTCTCAGCCAAGGGAGTGGGCTCACTTACAATTTTGCCTAAGAACACAGCCATGAATAAAGAATGGTACCAACACATCCTCCGAGAGCAACTTCTCCCAACCATCCAAGAACAGTTTGGTGACGAACAATACCTTTTCCAGCATGATGGAGCCTCTTGCCATAAGGCAAAAGTGATAACTAAGTGGCTCGGGGAACAAAATATCAACATTCTGGGTCGATGACCAGGAAACTCCCCAGACCTTAATCCCATTGAGAACTTGAAGGTCAATCCTCAAGAGGCCGGTGGACAAACAAAAACCCACAAATTCTGACAAACTCCATGTATTGATTATGCAAGAATGGGCTGCCATCAGTCAGGATGTGGCCCAGAAGTTAATTGACAGCATGCCAGGGCAGATTGCAGAGGTCTTGAAAAAGAAGGGTCAAGACTGCAAATATTGACTCTTTGCATAAACTTAATGTAAATGTCAATAAAAGCCTTTGACATTTATGGAATGCTTGTAATTATACTTCAGTATACCATAGTAACATCTGACAAAAATATCTAAAAACACTGAAGCAGCAAACTTTGTGAAGACCAATACTTGTGTCATTCTCAAACCTTTGACCACGACTGTACATGTTTTGGCACAAAGATGAAGAAATTGAATTTACCTGGGAGAAGCTGCATTATTCACCACTGTAAATGTACTTTTAACCTTCTGTACAAAAGTTATTAGGTTGGGCAAAACCTTGAAGGCTCTAGTTGCAACATCTTTGTTTTTCACGCATCGATGGCCACAACTTCTTTGGGAAAACCGTGGAACCTGTGATCTTGGGACATATTGTGCAATAGTCTGTAGAAAGCATTCAGAAGTGCCTTAGCCTTCACTTTCATTTAAATTATTCTTTATTGATTTCCAGATCAATTATTCAGTCCAAGTACAGCATCATATAAAAACAGAATACAAATCATCTTTGGACATGCCATCCCCACCTCCCCTCCCTCCTTAGAAGTGGAAACAATACAAGTGGTTGCTTAAAAAATAACTAAGAGCAATTGTTAGATTACAAACATGTAGCACTTTTAATTCTAATGAATGACAAGTGTGTAGATGACAAAGAGCACAGTAAAACAATAGAAAGCAATGTTATTAATCTGAAGAAATGAACGGCCACCATTATGACAACAGCTGTTCAGAGTAAAAGTTAACCAAAATGTAAAATAATTAACATAAAAATACGTGGATTGACACTGCAACAATATGTCATGTTCTTGTTGGAACTTGAATAATCAGTTCATACTACTATCAAATCTATATTTAGATAAAACATTTGTGTGAAAAATTAAACCTGTACATGCACTTTACTGTGCACTTTACTGTGTGACCACAAAATATTCAGAATGCTCTGTTCAATTATTAAAGGCCCAGTGCAGTCAACATTTTGATTTTCCTGTGTTTTATGTATATTTCCACACTATGAGGTTGGAATAATACTGAAATTGTGAAAATTGTGATGATGCTCTTTTAGCTGTTTGAAAAGTCCGCCTGAAATTTCAGCCTGTTTCGGTGGGATGGAATTTTGGCCTGCCTGGTGACATCATTAGTTAATAGACAAATAAGAAAGAGTTCCAAACCTCTCTGCCAATAACATATAGTTTCCAGTTTTCCTCTCCCCACTCAGACCACTCCCAGATAGACCTAGCAAAATTCTTGCTTGAGAAATTGCTCTTTGCTAAGAAGCTATTTATATTTATTTTTCACCATCTTAATTTAAAACAATCACAGTAAGGTACTTAATTGTTACCCAGAAATGATTTGATATTGAGATAAAAAGGTCTGCATTTGACCTTTAATGAACAAGAGGCCTTTGACTGTCAGCTAAGAGCACATTATGAATGATGCTGGTGCCAGGTTGACACACATTTCAATTCTGAAATGTGAATTACCTCAATATAAAGGAATGATTATCAAGTTCTATGACACGTGTCAGAGTGAAGGCAGTCCATGTAGACATCCTGTTGTTGTTGAAATGACATAACATAAAACGGTACTACAGTATTGCGAGCCCTAAAAATCACTAAGCTTTTCCTGGGCCTTTTTCAGACGGTCCAGGCGTTGATGCAGGTCGGCTCTCCTGCGGCCTGCCGTAGAGTCTTCGCTCAGCAGTTTGACAACATCAGCTCCGTCTCTCAGATCCATAATCTGGATACGCATCATCTTGGCTGATTCCTTAAGCATGAATTGCAGGATCAGCATGGGCACGTAATCTGCCAGGCGCTGGTAGACAATCTAGGAGTGGGGTGAAGGACAGTAATACATTACAGTAAGGTGGACAATGATTATGCACAGACAATGACTCTGTATGGTAAAACATACAATTGAAAAGCTACAGTATGTGATTACTCATATGAATGTCTTCTAGAAAAAAGACACCACTTGAATTCTGTTTTAGTAGCCCTTCCTTTCCCTTTCTTTTTCTCTGAGTTGCTCTTGTATTTCCGGTACAGACTCTAACATGCAAAGCCTGGCCCCTTGGGTTCGGGGTGGTGCAGTGCTTCCTGAACTTTATCAGTGTATGCCCTCCTTGACTAAAGGTAGACTCTCCACGCCCACCTATTATGAAAAACATACTGCTGTCAAACATACCTCATAATAGACCCCAAGTTTATCTGGGGTCAGCTTCCTGGTATCAAATGCAGCACAGTTGAATACAGCAGTGATGTCATTCTCCTCAGTTTCCTCTGGATCATAAAAATGCTCTTCCTCAAAGGCTTCTTTGAACTGATCTTTATGATCCTTCAAGCCCTTGACGAAAATACTATCCTGAGTGTACACCAATCGCTCCATATTGATGTATTCTTTGATTCTCTTCTCAACTTTGGCTTCCTGCTTCGACTGGATTTCGTCTATCTTAGTCTGAGGAATTTCGTTGTGTGACTGATAGTTAATTACATGAATGACTCAAACAACATTATATAATTGATCATCCATTTTAACTTCACAACCATAATCTATGATGTAAAATATATCACTTCACTTTAACTCACCACAGCCAGGCATCTGAGTTGAGGATAGCTTTTGAAACAAGCTTCACACACATCTCTAAACTCTGCTTGCACCATACCTTGAGAGGAAAAAAAAAAGTCAATATAAAGATTTGAAGGCCTGTTTACTGGTTGATATTCAACATTAGGTCTATACTGTACACACTAAAAAAGTAGGGTTCCTCAAGGGTTCTTTGGGAAGGGTGATGGTTCTATGTGGAATCATAATGAGTCAAAGAACCCTTTGAGCTATTCAATGGTTCTTTATAGTTCACAAAATGGTTATTTTCTCTTTTAGTGATCATTAAAATGTAGGGGAGGTGGCTCATTAGAATATTTTGGGGCATGGTTTGCTCAAAACACTTTTTGAGCAACTGTGAGTGAGAGTGTCATTCCAGTTTATCTCATGTGTTGTCATATGCCATTGAATATTTTATATGACTATGGTCATTGACAGTGTCTTTTGAAAGACTCATGTATGGCCTTGTGCCAATTGAGAACGGTTGACCAAATCAGTAAGTGGTTCTCAATTCTCTCCTCAGGGACCCCCAGCTGTTCCCGAGGTAGCTCACTTGATTCAACTTTTCAATGATCACAATAAAAACACATGTGGAATTTTAACAATATGATATGGATGACCAGAATAAAAAAATAACAGTGGTTCTCCAAAAGGATCTTCAAAGAACCTTTCAGATTGAGAAAGGTTCTTTATAGAACCATTCTCCATAATGGTTCTATAAAAATAATTTTAAAAAGGGTTCTATATAGCCCCAAAAAGGGATGTAACCAAGGGTTGTAACGATCAACTGTATGCAAGAATTTCCTCTGTGTTGATCTTACCATCCCCCATTGTCTCACCTCTGAGAAGCAGAGGTTACATGCTGTAGGACTGATACCGGAATGGAGGTTAACTTTACTGTAATACCATTGGTCAACAAGAGTTTTTGAATCCAAACAACTCAGATGCTTATAAAAGGGTCTTAAATTAATAATATGCCATTTAGCAGACGCTTTTATCCAAAGCGACTTACAGTGATGTGCGCATAAATTTTTACGTATGGGTGGTCCAAAGGATCGAACCCACTACCCTGGCGTTATAAGCGCCATGCTCTACCAATTGAGCTACAGAGGACCACATTGTTCTTTCTCTTATGTTCCTGACCCCTCTCTCTCTCTCTCTCTCTCTCTCTCTCTCTCTCTCTCTCTCTCTCTCTCTCTCTCTCTCTCTCTCTCTCTCTCTCTCTCTCTCTCTCTCTCTCTCTCTCTCTCTCTCTCTCTCTCTCTCTCTCTCTCGCTTGAAATAATGCCTTGTAATGCTTGTTAATGTTTTGTAACTTACGTTTTATGCCAAATATGTGAATTCATTTATTTTACAAAGTAATTAACTACACTTTAGAATTCCATCCTCAATTCTCTATTGTTGTAACTCAACTATAGTGTTCTTGCTTATTGCTATTTATCTTATGGAGTCAGATAATTCATTTAATGGGCTAATTGCATAGTCTTATTATGAGTCGCATGTGAGGTATATATATATTGTACTGTTTATACACATATAAAATATTACTGTCCACTACTGACTCCGCTTTATACTTTTACTGTACCAAGAGGAGTGGGCCGAATTCCGACAAACATAGAGTGTGCCTTTTGTGATCATGTCATATCACAGATTGTCCGTTTAAATAATACCTCGAATGGCTTTCAGGACATCCAAGGCTGGCTCTTGAAGTCCAAGGATGTGCTTTTGAACTGCGTGTTCATATACACAATAGTCACTGAAAGTTATCAGTTCTCTCCCACGATGTTCTTTATCGTAGTTCTTTATCATGGTCGCCACTTCGTTGAGGACTGAAATGATACCCAGAAACAAGACAGAACAAACAACTCTGTGAGTGGAATACCATTTTGTTAGGGTATAAAGTCACAAGCAGGCTTACATCCTGTAAACTGCAAAGCATTAACTATGATCATGACAACATGGGACATGGGTCTCTATTTGCATGACATGAAATCTAATGAATACAGGACTTACATAATCCTTTGGTGTTACTGAGATAACTATCCCACTTTTGGAATACAGGACGGAGGAAAGTATGCAGATTCTTCTCACTTGAGTTCCCAACTCTGCACAGTTCATGAATCTTGTCAATGAAATCCATTAGTCGCTAGAAATGTAGACAGAACCACGTTGTCATGTATCTAATAAGAATTTAAAGGGTACCGATCTTTCTAATTCTGTTTTCCAAAAAAGTATTTCATTCTACATTTTCTCATCTACGTTTCCTGGATCGAGAAACACTCGCTAGTTTCTCTATCTATACATCCTGTACCAGAACCAAAATCAAGTAGCTGATTTGGTTCTGGGTGCTGAGATTAGTGACAACATGAACCTAATTTCAACAGTGTAATATAGATTTGAACAATTCTATGAAAAGAGTATTGTGACCTTTATTTCTTCAGGTTTCTATGTACTCACCTCCGTCAGGTAGGGCCCCATCTTTTTACGTTCCAGTGGAGGACCAGTGCTATACTTCTTCAGTTCTGTTTTAACAGTCTCAAGATGCTCTCTGATTTGATCTGTCAAGTATGGCAGTGATGTCTGTTGGGAAACAATTCAATGAAGTGAAGTAGCATTCTTAGCATTGAATGTAATAGTCAATGGCAAGTTTAAAGTCAACTTACTTTGATATGATCTACTAGGTCTTGTGTGAGCTTGGTAGCAAGGCATTGTGTTGTAACTTTGTTTTGCTCAAGAAGTGGACTGTAATTGAGATGCACAGAAATGTTTTGGTTGACTTGTGTACAAACGAGCCATAAACCAATGTGAGAATATGTTAGTTTCCACCTGCCCTTAGCACTAGTACCGACATGGACGTTTTGAGGCATTTTGTGAGTCCTAATAATAGCCATTGTGAAAGTTATTTCCAAAAACACTTGGCGACCCATTTTAGAACCCCTGTAGGTCTAAGCCCATAGATCGCAATATCTACTCAACTAACATATGGAATTGTTTTAAAATGGTCATAAAATGTACAAAACAATAGATATATAAAACATATTTTATGAAACATTGAATTGGCCTTTACTGTTATTATCCATAGAAATGCATTGAATAACACGTGTACATGGCGAAACAGTCAGTCCAAAAATAAATCATAAGGAAAAAGGTTTTGAAGTGTGTGTCTTATATCTGAGAGATATAAGAAAAGTCAGCAAAAATGTTTTTTTTGGCCCATGTTTGGTCAAGTTATTCAGGCCACTTTTTACCCCTTTTTGCACTTTGTGCCATTTGTACAGCCCAGTACTGGGTTACATTCAGACGACATTCAGACACTTTGTGTTTGTGAGAGTCTGCCCTTTCGATATTGGTGACATATTAGTTTGTAGCTCCAACAGTTCGGTAAGAACAGTAGGTTTTTTGAGAAGATCTCTGAAATTAGGACATCTGCAACAGAGGACTGCCATAAAGCTTGTGGATGTCTTAGAGCCAAACAACGTACACTGTCATATTCGAGAGAGTCTAATCTTTCGATGGTGGTGACTTATTAGTTTGTATCTCAAACGGTTGGGTTGTACAGACGATTTCGTGGTGATGTTCTTGTCCGGATCCTTATGTGTAGAAAAAGACTGCTTTCACAAGCCCCATGTTATGCAATAGGTGCAAACTTTGTATCGGCGAAAAGAGGAGATTGAGCTGCAGCCACTACAATAAATGGTAAGTATCTAGCCTAAACACACAGGGAGCTATTCAATATTTAAAAAACCTGCTCTAGTTGCATCTACCATATTTTGGATTTGGTAAGAAGAACCAGGCTTATCACTTTTGTTTGACCGTGGAATTTAAAGATAACTATTTGTAAATGTTCAATTCTCAAATGTAATGATAGTTGATAAAGGTCAGTTAGCGGATCTCACACTGAGATGGGAAATGTCTGGTAATTCTGCAATTATAGAAGACCGTTGAGACCAGCTCGTATGACTGACAAACAGTGACAATTAAACTACCCAGACAATCAGTGACTTTTATGGCTGACTGATATGTTAAGGGCAGTGAAAGCAGCTGGTGCTGTGACATTTTGGGATCAACATTGACCCCCTGGTGTGAAGTGCTACCAAAATTACCTAAAGTAGTGGTGGTTTTTGAAGAATTCCATTTCCAGTCGAGTGGCGTCCGCCAAAGAGATCTTCTGGTTGATATCACTCTGGCCACGGCATTTTACGATGATGTAGCCTTTGTTCAGGTGAACGACTTGGCCATTAACAATTTTTAAGATGTCTGGCTCTGCTCCTTTGTCAACCAAGTCTGGCTTGGTCAGAATTGCTTGTAAACAAAGAACATACAGTGGGGGAAAAAAGTATTTAGTCAGCCACCAATTGTGCAAGTTCTAACACTTAAAAAGATGAGAGAGGCCTGTAATTTTCATCATTGGTACACGTCAACTATGACAGACAAAATGAGAAAAAAAATCCAGAAAATCACATGGTAGGATTTCTAATGAATTTATTTGCAAGTTATGGTGGAAAATAAGTATTTGGTCAATAACAAAAGTTTCTCAATACTTTGTTATATAACCTTTGTTGGCAATGACACAGGTCAAACGTTTTCTGTAAGTCTTCACAAGGTCTTCACACACTGTTGCTGGTATTTTGGCCCATTCCTCCATGCAGATCTCCTCTAGAGCAGTGATGATTTGGGGCTGTCGCTGGGCAACACAGACTTTCAACTCCCTCCAAAGATTTTCTATGGGGTTGAGATCTGGAGACTGGCTAGGCCACTCCAGGTCCTTGAAATGATTCTTACGAAGCCACTCCTTCGTTGCCCGGGCGGTGTGTTTGGGATCATTGTCATGCTGAAAGACCCAGCCACATTTCATCTTCAATGCCCTTGCTGATGGAAGGAGATTTTCACTCAAAGTCTCACGATTCATGGCCCCATTCATTCTTTCCTTTACACGGATCAGTCGTTCTGGTCCCTTTGCAGAAAAACAGCCCCAAAGCATGATGTTTCCACCCCCATGCTTCACAGTAGGTATGGTGTTCTTTGGATGCAACTCAGCATTCTTTGTCCTCCAAACACGACGAGTTTAGTTTTTACCAAAAAGTTATATTTTGGTTTCATCTGACCATATGACATTCTCCCAATCCTCTTCTGGATCATCCAAATACACTCTAGCAAACTTCAGACGAGCCTGGACATGTACTGGCTTAAGCAGGGGGACACATCTGGCACTGCAGGATTTGAGTCCCTGGCGGCGTAGTGTGTTACTGATGGTAGGCTTTGTTACTTTGGTCCCAGATCTCTGCAGGTCATTCACTAGGTCCCCCCGTGTGGTTCTGGGATTTTTGCTCACCGTTCTTGTGATCATTTTGACACCACGGGGTGAGATCTTGCGTGGAGCCCCAGATCGAGGGAGATTATCAGTGGTCTTGTATGTCTTCCATTTCCTAATAATTGCTCCCACAGTTGATTTCTTCAAACCAAGCTGCTTACCTATTGCAGATTCAGTCTTCCCAGCCTGGTGCAGGTCTACAATTTTGTTTCTGGTGTCCTTTGACAGCTCTTTGGTCTTGGCCATAGTGGAGTTTGGAGTGTGACTGTTTGAGGTTGTGGACAGGTGTCTTTTATACTGATAACAAGTTCAAACAGGTGCCATTAATACAGGTAACGAGTGGAGGACAGAGGAGCCTCTTAAAGAAGAAGTTACAGTTCTGTGAGAGCCAGAAATCATGCTTGTTTGTAGGTGACCAAATACTTATTTTCCGCCATAATTTGCAAATAAATTCATTAAAAATCCTACAATGTGTTTTTCTGGAATTTTTTCTCTCAATTTGTCTGTCAATTGACGTGTACCTATGATGAAAATTACAGGCCTCTCTCATCTTTTTAAGTGGGAGAACTTGCACAATTGGTGGCTGACTAAATACTTTTTTCCTCCACTGTATATCCACATATTAAAAAGTCATTTTCATGAAGGAAAAGGGTGAGGAGTTCAAATAAACAGTTGTGATATGGTGTGAATTTACCCAGAGTCCTTGCACCTTCAGGATCCACTGATTGTGCCATTCTCAATGCTTCAGTTGTTGCTATGTCAACATTGCATGGCACTACAACCAGGTTAATGGTCTCTTGTTTCTTAATAAACTTCAAAATAAGACGTCTGATCTAAATGGACATGAAAGGCAAAAATTGGTAAGAGTATTATCTGTTGAAACAGACTACTAACATCTGTCAGCGATGCTTAGTGAATCTGAGATAAGGAGAAATTACCATTCAGTTACTATAGGGCAAGACATGACCCAAAACACACTGGAAATGCAACCAAAGAGTTGAGTCACAGGCTTTATGCATTGATGGACCAAAAACTAACCTTTAGACAACTTTAATATATATAATATTAATTTGTCCAAATACTTATAACTTCTTCAAATGAGGGGTGGGTAGATACACAAAGTGCTTTAATTTCTAAACGGTAAAACACATGAAAATACCCTGAAATAAAGATGACATTCTGTACTTTTGCCTCATATTCGTCAACAAATCCACATTGCTGGAGTATAAAGCCAATATCCAAATAAATGTGGAGAGCACTGTATATGATTAAGTGAAGTTAACAAGGTTCAAAATGCACATTGATAATAGTTACATTGTCTACATATGAAAAAGTATGAAAAATGTATGCACTCACTAACTGTAAGTCGCTCTGGATAAGAGCGTCTGCTAAATGACTAAAATGTATCTACTTCCTCCTAACACACATTCATTTTGTGACACTAACCTGATCACCAATATCCTCTGGTTGGCCTTGGACAGGTACTCTGGTAATCCCAGGTAGATCAATAAGTGTGAGGTCACATACATCAGGAGACGTGATCTCCAGCGTGATCAGGTCATCACAGATCCCAACACCATCTCCGGCTAGAGTATTCTGAGCTTTAAAACAGGTAATTAGGCAACGTTATTCACCCCAGTGAATTTGACATCTATTGAAAACTATAAACCAACGTAAAATGACACTGTCAGCATGTATCTACTGTATATTGTGGGGAATATACAGTGAAATGTTATGCTTTACATTCAGTTGAAACTTGCATACCTGTTCTGACATGAATCTCAACCAATGAGGGGTTCTCAAAAGTCTCCACTACCCCTTGATAACTGATCTTTGCCTTCCATTTTCCTCCAAAACTCTTCCTTAGTTTCAATTCCAATGGACACCTGGTGACAATACCTAAGATAACATATATTTATTTTAAATAAAAATTGCACCCAATTGGTATTTGTTATGCAATATAAGAAACGCAGCCTATAAATTGTAAAGAGAACATTTACTGATCTACCTGATAAAATGATGCAGTAGCAGATGCATGACAACATGTTTCGACTCATGCAGCGCTGACTTGAGGAAGACCCAGTTGGGTAGAAACATGTTTCTTCATGCATCTGCTACTCTCTACTCAAAGATAGTTTTCAACTGATTCATCTCACCACTTCCTCTGGGTAGTGCCACCCCAGATAATGCCTCAAGCACTGAGCTCTTCCCTGAGCTCTGGTCTCCTACCACAGCAATGGCTGGCAATGCCAGGTCCTTCTCGATTCCGATAGATCTCAGAAAGTCAATGAGTTCGATGAATGGTCGCACTTGTCTATCCAAATGGCTGTAGAATACCCCACTTTGCATACCAGTTCTATATCTGCAGACAAATAAATATACCAAGCAAATGTAGGAAAACCAATCAGTTATGAATTAAGCTGCAAATGAAGTCTTTAATTAGAAAATTGGAAACATACCTGGATCAATTCTTTGGATTTCAACTTACCTTTCCTCATCCTCAGAACCTGCATCTGGTCTGTCCATTTCTTGATGAAACACACATGCACCAAGAATACATGTAAGGTTAGATGTAATTTGTTATTGGGTTATAACTTACATTTCCATAACAAAAATATGGACTTACTCAGTATTGCTCAGCTGTGTTTGTCAGAGTAGAAAGAGCACACAGCAGAGACCTGTCAATATAGCTTTGTACTGCAACAATGTGCAAAAATGTTACAACCCTAGAATGGGCACAGTCTGTAGCATCATAACAATGTCCAAAGTACTGTAAGGGAGTGGCTTTATATGAGCATCTTATGATTATAAGGCCTTAAGAAATGTGCTGATTTCAAATAAATATAAACTGGGTGCTCCAGTTTATAACAAAGGATAAGGGTCAATCTATGCACTCATCTAAATCTGACTACTATTCAAGAGTGAAAAGTGTAGCAACAATTCAAAATGAAAATGATTTTGGGCAGGGGCGCAACATGCATTTTTGTCCTCCCCAGTTTTATCATTGGAATGTGATACAAAACGAGGCAACGGTGTGCTTTAGGACCATGCAGACTTCTCCAAGCGGTCGGGTAGGCTGTTTGGAGTGTTTATCCGACTGGATACAAAAATAAGAATTATGATTATTATGTCCTCCCCACTTTTAAAACCAAAGTTGTGCCAATGATTTTGGGAATAGCATTACTGTTGAATGTCACCATTTCAGACAAGGCAGTATTTTAAGAGAGCCCTTACTTACGTTAAAAGGTCAATGAAAATTAATACGCCATTTAGCTTTCAGCTGATCATTGATGTTGATGATTGATGTAAATCTGCTAGTTAGCTAGCTCGATTTCTTTACTGATTGTGATTTACCTCTATGTCTTTCTGCCTTGCCCAGACTGAATATTGATCATGACATAAAATGGCGCCGAAGGAGTTGGCTGCCGTTTTACGGGCTCCTCACCAGTTGTGCTATTGTGTGTGTTTTTTCACGTTATTTGTAACTTATTTTGTACATAATGTTTCTGCCACCGTCTCTTATGACGGAAAATAGCTTCTGGATATCAGGACAGCGATTACTCACCTCGTACTGACCAAACTGATATCCTACCAATGGGACATTAAAAACTGTAATATCTTATGTTTCACCGAGTCGTGGCTGATTGACGACATGGATAACATACAGCTGGCGGGATATACGCTGCATCGGCTAGATAGAACAGCTGCCTAAGGTAAGACAAGGGGTGGAGGTCTGTGTATATTTGTAAATTGCTGGTGCACAAAATGCTGGTGCACAAAATCTAATATAAAGGAAGTCTCAAGGTTTTGCTCGCCTGAGGTAGAGTACCTTACGATAAACTGTAGACCACACTATTTACCAAGAGAGTTTTCATCTATATTTTTTCGTAGCTGTCTATTTACCACCACAAACCGATGCTGGCACTAAGACCGCACTCGATGAGCTGTATAAGGCCATAAGCAAACAGGAAAATGCTAATCCAGAGGCGGCGCTCCTAGTGGCCGGGGACTTTAATGCAGGGAAACGTAAATCCGTTTTACCTCATTTCTACCAGTATGTTAAATGTGCAACCAGAGGAAAAATAACTCTAGACCACCTTTACTCTACACACAGAGACGTGTACAAAGCTCTCCCTCGCCCTCCATTTGGCAAATCTGACCATAACTCCATCCTCCTGATTCCTGCAATACAAGCAAAAACTAAAGGAAGAAGCACCAGTGACTCGGTCAATTAAGAAGTGGTCAGATGATGCAGATGCTAAGCTACAGGACTGTTTTGCTAGCAGAGACTGGAATATGTTCAGGGATTCTTCCGATAGCATTGAGGAGTACACCACAGCAGTCACTGGCTTCATCAATAAGTGTATCGCCGATGTCCATCCACAGTGACCGTACGTACAGAAGCCATTAATTACAGGCAACATCTGCACTGAGCTAAAGGGTAGAGCTGCCGCTTTCAAGGAGCGGGACTCTAACCTGGACACTTATAAGAAATCCCGCTATGACCTCTGACGAACCATCAAACAGGCAAAGCGTCAATACAGGACTAAGATTGAATCATCCTACACCGGCTCCAATGCTCGTCGGATGTGGCAGGGCTTGCAAATTATTACAGACTACAAAGGGAAGCACAGTCGCAAGCTGCCAAGTGACACGAGCCTACCAGACGAGCTACATTACTTATATGCTCGCTTCGAGGCAAGCAACACTGAAGCATGCATGAGAGCATCAGCTGTTCCGGATGACTGTGTGATCACGCACTCCATAGCCAATGTGAGTAAGACCTTTAAACAGGTCAACATTCAGAAGGCCGCAGGGCCAGACGGATTACCAGGACGTGTACTCTGAGCATGCGCTGACCAACTGGCAAGTATCTTCACTGACATTTTCAACCGGTCCATGACTGAGTCTGTAATACCAACATGTTTCAAGCAGACCAACATAGTCTCTGTGCCCAAGAACACTAATGGTAACCTGCCTAAATGACTACCGACCTGTAGCACTCACGTCTGTAGCCATGAATTGCTTTGAAAGGCTGGTCATGGCTCACATCAACACCATTATCCCAGAAACCCTAGACCCAATCAAATTTGCATACCGCCCCAAAAGATCCACAGATGATGAAATCTCTATTGCACTCCACACTGCCCTTTCCCACCTGGACAAAAGAACACCTACGTGAGAATGCTTTTCATTGACTACAGCTCAGCGTTCAACACCATAGTGCCCTCAAAGGACCCTGGGACTAAACACCTCCCTCTGCAACTGGATCCTGGACTTCCTGACGGGCCGCCCTCAGGTGGTAAGGGTAGGTAACAACACATCTGCCACGCTGATCTTCAACATGGGGGCCCCTCAGGGGTGTGTGCTCAGTCCCTTCCTGTACTATGTGTTAACCCATGACTGCATGACCAAGCACAACTCCCAACACCATCATTAAGTTTGCAGATGACACAACAGTGGTAGGCCTGATTACCGACAACGATGACCCAGCCTATAGAGAGGAGGTCAGAGACCTGGCCGTCTGGTGCCAGGATAACAACCTCTCCCTCAACGTGACCAAGACAAAGGAGATGATTGTGGACTACAGGAAAAAGAAGAGGACCGAGCACGCCTCCATTCTCATCGACAGGGTTGTAGTGGAGCAGGTTGAGAGCTTCAATTTACTTGGTGTCCACATCACCAACAAACCATCATGGTCCAAACACACCAAGACAGTCGTGAAGAGGGCACGACAAAGCCTATTCCCCCTCAGGAGACTAAAAAGATTTGGCATGGGTCCTCAGATCCTCAAAAAGTTATACAGCTGGACCATCGAGAGCATCCTGACTGGTTGCATCACTGCCTGGTATGGCAACTGCTCGGCCTCCAACCGCAAGGCACTACAGAGGGTAATGCGTAGGGCCCAGTACATCACTGGGGCCAAGCTTCCTGCCATCCAGGACCTCTATACCAGGTGGTGTCAGAGGAAGACCCTAAAAATGGTCAAAGACTCCAGCCACCCTAGTCATAGACTGTTCACTCTGCTACTGCACAGCAAGTGGTACCGGAGCGCCAACTCTAGGTCCAAAAGGCTTTTTAACAGCTTCTACCCCCAAGCTATAAGACTCCTGAACAGCTAATTGTTACGTGTGACATGTTTTTCTTTCTCCCAATTTTCCTTTGTAGTGTGTGTGTGGTTCAGAGTGGTTGTTCTGTTGGTGTGTTCTGGTTATTTCAGGTGTGCTGAGTTGCGGCTGACGATGGTGGGCGTGGTTTCGGTCCGGAGTCCTGGCAGCTGTGGTTGAGTGATTGATTCACTAGAGTATAAACTGTTTGTCGTGTGAGTTCGAGACAGAGAGAGACGGGGCACTATTGTTTGGCTGAGGATTTGGTTATTGGTTGTTTTGATTTATCTTTGTTTGTGTTCCAGCCTGTCCTCCTGCTGTATTCCACCCTACCTGGGTCCTGGAGAAGGGAAAGGTAGTTCTGCCCATGGGTGTACATTCACACGTAGATAATCCACTGTTTTATACAGTAGGTTAGCCAGGCGGGTGTCACCACTGTATTTGTGGTAACAGGTAGGAGAGCTGGTTAAGGCTTAGAGTGTTAGGAAGGATTAGGTTTGTAGAAGAGGGACCTTTAATTTATTTTCATTACTTGGACCCCGTTCCCAAACATTCCCTTCTCTTACCATCCCTGGTTTGTTTGATTGGTCTTTGTTTTATTACTGTTTCTTTATGGGTGTTGTATATGTTGTTCAGTACCTTACTAAACGACCCCAGAGGGCTAACATTGAGTTCTGGTTGTTGTGTCCCATTATTTTAGTTAGTTACACCCCACATTTCTTTCCCATCCATTTAGTTTACATTGTGTGCGTAGGCACGGGCATTTACGTCTCCTCCTCAGACGAACTACACCCGAGGGGAGAACGTAACACTAATCAAATGGCTACCTGGACTATTTGCATTGCATTTCACTGTAAGGTCTACACCTGTTGTATTCGGCACAAGTGACAAATAACATTTGATTTGATGTAAGCTAAATCAAGTGTTAATCAAATGTTATGCTGCTGTGGCAGTACTGTTGAAATTTAAGCTAGGTAGCTAGCTACAAACACTTGACCGGTGACCAAATCTCTCAAGCCATGCATGTGGATACCTGGCACGCAGTCGTCGTACAGGGCAGACTGGGAAAAAGGCTCCAAAGGATCCATACAGGGAAGATCAACAGGCACAACCAGCGGGTTCCGGACAACAAGTTGGCACTTGTGGGCAGTGGGTTCCGAACAACAATGACAAAAACGTTATACAAAAAAAACATTTTAGGGGAAATTATACCACCACCCAAAAAGGCACTTTGGAGACTGGAAGGGCAAAGGGGAATGTGCTCTGCACAGGTAGAGCCCTTTCTGTGCACGTGCCTGGGTGACATACAAAAAACTGTCAGAGCGATCTTTAGCCATGAAGCCCTTAAGAAAAAGGATCAATATAAAATATTCAGTGATTTCCACAGTGGAAGACGAACAAGTTCCAGCTGACTGCATC